TACATGGACATGGGACTACGTCTTAAAGATGCCACCCTCATATAATGAAAGAGGACAGTAGAGATGGGTTTAAACTTGAATATTTACATACTATTTATTTATTATTTGTATCATATGTTTGTAGAATACCACATTTAAAAAAAGCTAATGAATTTATCATCTTGTCAACTTTCAAATAATTAAAGATAACTAATCATCAATGAATAAACATTAACATTTTAACAATGTCAACTACCATCTTATGGGATGAAACTGAGGGCTGGGCAGAAAGAAATTTCCTTGAAATTTGAGTGATAAAGATCTATCAGTCTATATCAAAGATTGAATTAATCAATGATATTTTAATCATAATTATACATGTTGAAATTCATTTACCTCAGTCTATGGACTTCTGTATTTGCAGTTTTGTAGATTATTACATTATTGCTGCTTCAAGTATTGTATGTAAGAATGTTTGAAAGACAACCCTCTAAATGCACCAAAAATATGAAAACTGCTAATCATCATTGCCTTTTGTATCCAAACTGCTAGTTTTAATAGAATCATGTTTTCATACTTCCTAGCTTAAAAAAACGGGGGGGGGGGGGGCTTGTTATCCTCTTCCTGGTGCTGTTTCTACATGGACCATGTAATAGGTTGCAAAAGTGTAAAAAATATTATATTTGTTATATATATTAGAAGGATTTAGAAAATGAAAACGTTTTGAATTATAGAATTACTGTTGCTAGAAGTAATGGCAGTATTGATGTGTAAGGGAAGGGGGTGGTTTTCCCAGTGAAATTAACGGTATACCAATGTCAAATTGATAACAGAGAGAAAACTATTCCTAAAAATAAAATTATAAAGGACATGGGCCTCCTAACTAACTAACCCTGGTACCACTTCTGGGTTTGTTTGTTTGTTGTTTTTGTGGGTTTTTTTTAGGGGGGGGGGGGCAACCCAATTCAAAATTTCCAGTGTTAAATTACATTGTCTTTAAACAAAAATGATGTCAAGATGTTGAAAAACAATGTTTCACTTTCCGTTTTCAAGTTAGAAAATTTGAATAAAATGATTAACATATTTTCCGATCTCTCTGGTCTCTACATTAAACATGTTCAAAGCTCCTGCAAAGGCTGCAAAAAGGAAAAGTGAAGAATCCAAGTGAAATGTGGACAGTAATGGAGTGAATAGGGAATGGTTGATTGTAGTTGATAACGAGTAAATGTAAATGAGTGGTAATAACACGACAGAAAGTGAGACAGAAAGGAACTACAACAGGTTGTTCAGTCAAGACAACAAACCGTTATGGGTGGAGAAAAACCATCCACTTTGCCACATAATTTATTTGTCTAAAATAAGGAAACTTTATACATTAGCATAATTAAAATGTATAATCATAGTCAGAGAATGTGTTGTTATATGGCTTATAGCATGTTTGATTTAATAAAACAAAAACAGACCCAGTTATTGATAGACTAAAAAGGGAATAAGATCGAGACAATATCAGTATTTCTTATTCAATGAAGTTGAGGCCACTCCCCCATATTAAAAAACAACAACAACACAACAACGAGTGGGACTTTCAAGGTCCACTTCCCGATGCATCCTGGGTACACCAGCTGTCATACTGGTGATCGATAATACAAGTTCGAGCGCGTATTTCACCTCACGGTGATCGCATCAGAATAATCCACGCTGATTCGCTGAATCACTTGCGTTGCGAGCGCGCAGCGTGATGAATAAATTACCCATAATTCCGTACAGTAGATTATTTGACCTCTCTAATTACGCTGATACGCGTATTGTCTTTTACCATGTAGTTAACATAATTCCAGTACACTTTTCGTGGGGAGCATCCTACAGAATGCATAATTCATAAGGCTCATGAATTATGCAAGGGGGCTTATTTTGGCTTCTAATGGATCCGGACAAAATGGCGGAGCTTGGGGGGCCTGATTTAAACGTCTTTGGTCCAAACAGTAGATCGGTGCAGGTAGGGACCTAACTGTTCCGTCTCATGAACAGACTGGCAAAACAAAGCAGGCTTCCGGGAGCACACATAAATGCTGTCTTTAACCTTCTTTCAACGACAAGACATCGTGATGAGCCACACAATTGACCTTAGTTTGATAGAGCGTCTTCTAGTATGGAGTGTACACTTGTATGGGACAGAGACGTGGCCACTCGCCCCGAAGGACGTTCAGCGACTGGAGGCGGTCGAAATAATGTGGTGCTGGCGTAAATATAGGTGTATCTTGGAGGGACAGAGTTTCAAATGAAGAGGTGTTGCATCGAGCTCAAGAAAAGCGGGTGCTGATTCAAACGATTAGAAAGAGACAGATGAAATGGCTTGGACACATAATGCAGCACGATATTGGCTTGATGATCAGTCATAGAAGGTCGTCTACATGGAAAGAAGATGAGGGGAAGACCTCGTAAATGCTTTCTAGATGATTTAATCGCAGAATCTGGAGCCCCGGGATATGAAATGTTGAAACGGATGGCTAAAGATCGAGACAATTCAGATTGGGTCACTGAACCTGTCATAAACCGACAGATCACTATTGGTGATTATGTAGACAATGTTACAATGTGCCGGACGACAAGAAGGGACCAACTGATACGTTTTCAACCAAAATATATAGACTGGTGAAACAAATGTTGGAAAGACTGACAGCAAATCATAGAATTCTGACTTTAGTTGGAGGTAGCAGACGTCTTGACAAAGTGATGCGGGATTAGATATTGGGAGTTTCTGTTTCGTTTACCTACAGACTGCATAGCGAAATAAACTGAGACTCAGTTCCACGTCCAAAAAGAGGAAAAGGGAAAAAAGAATTAAAAAAAGGGGGAAAAAGGGGGAAAAAAGGGAAAACAATAGAATGAATAAAGAAATATTGTAATAAAGACAAACAGAAAGAAAAGGGTTCATTTCCATGTCTCTTCTATTACTTTGCCACTTTATTATGCGTATAATGCTGTCACCGCTTCCATCATTCTTGAGAACTTATCGTCATGCATTAATTTTGGTACTTTATGGGCACTGTAACGATCGAATCACTCACAGCGCATCGTTTGTTTCTTTCAATCTCTCTCTCTCTCTCTCTCTCTCTCTCCCTCTCCCTAATACAACAACAACATTATACATTTATCTAGAATTCTAGAGTCTTCAATGCTCTAGAAAATAAATTATTCTATATTTTTAAAAATAGAGCTTATCTGTCGGTCGCTACGGTCCCTCGCATAATAATACTTTTAATACTAAAATATTCAAGTTGTGGAAGGGCTCTAACCCGGTTTGATAGGCAAAAATTCATGTCATGAACTTGCCCAAACAATTGTTTTAAACGCTGGAAGAGGGGAAAACAAGGAGAGGCGGTTGCATATGGGGAGAATTGTGAGAGAAAGAGAGAAGCAGAGAGAGAGAGAGAGAAAGAGAGAAAGAGAGAGAGAGGGGGAACTGAGAGAAGGCAGATGAATATTAAAGTTGAGAGAAGACTAAGAGAAATCGAAAGGGAGAAGATCAATGGGAGAGAGGCAGAAAGAGAGAGACAGAGATAGAAGAAGAAGAAAAAGAAGAAGAAGAAGAAGAAGAAAAGAAGAAGAAGAAGAAGAAGAAAAAGAAGAAGAAGAAGAAAAAGAAGAAGAAGAAAAAGAAGAAGAAGAAGAAGAAGAAGAAGAAGAAGAAGAAGAAAAAGAAGAAGAAGAAAAAGAAGAAGAAGAAAAAGAAGAAGAAGAAAAAGAAGACGAAGATGAAGAAGAAGAAGATGAATAAGAAAAAACGAAAAAGGAAAGAAGAAGAGCGAAACTCACTTTGTGAGAGAACCTGACCAAAAACAACTGCAGAGGTTAAAGGCCCACTGCACTACTTGTAGTTACTTGCGCCCTCTATATAACAAACCATGCCTAATCGGTGACCATTGGTCCCCAATGATCCTTTTTTTCTTATGTTAACTGAGAGCTGAGTTGATGAGATAACCACCTGTCTAATGACCTTGCAGGGCAGTCTAATCCCTCCTGTAAACTATGGCAGATAAGCTTTAAGACTTTTGTGCAAGGAGGATTAAACAATGGAATGAAAGAAAACTTTTTAAGCTTTGCACAGTCCGACATTTAGACTGTTTCCCAAACTGCCTGTATCACATGAGGAAATGTTGATCCATTAGCCAAAATCATATATGCATCTTGGTTAATGTTTTAACTGTATTTCCTGTTTTGTGATGGTCTTTAGCCTCACTTTGATAGCACGGTGGTGGGTATGTTGTAATGTTTCAGGGGTGGAACATATAACACATAATCACTGCATGTTCTATAATTCTCTGAAAATTGATCTTGACAAAAATCAATCCAAAAGTTTATGGGAATCAACATTACCTGTCATCTGACAAATTTATGAAATTACTTTAAAACTCCTCCACTTCCAACTCTGTCTACGATTCTACAGTAACTTGTGTTATATCTTTCTTAATAAAGATCCACATGAACTTTACCTTGGAAAACATTGGTGACTTTATCTTCATATTTCCAGGGACTTTTGTCATTACATTTTCAAACCAAACTAATGAAAATTGTAATACTTTAATGAGCATGTCAAAATATTAAGTACATAAAGTACCCTTAAGTCCTACACATGTAAATTTATATTGTAGCTTTAGATAATTTATTAAATAGGGCTTTTAATCTGTAATGGGCTATACAACTGAATGTAATTCATGATGTGACTCAGAATAATATCCTTGTTATGTACTGTCTGCCGAGACTGAGCTGGAAGGGCGTTGGCTCACTCTTCTTCAATGTTGGATAAACACCCTTTTGGTTCTCACCATTCAATATCATATTCATGCCTATATCTATATTGCGTGAAACACCAATGGGACACAAGTTTCAGTATTATTATAGAAATAAAACTTGAATCTTGAATCTCAAATATTGATGTTACATTGCCATTCAATTTTGTTTGAGGAATGAAAAGAGGCAGCACTAGACTTTTACATAAACACATCAATGACACTGGTATATAAAAGTGTAATGAAAATATATTCTTTTATTTTCACCTACCATAGATTCACCATAAATTTATTAACATATATACCACTACAATCTTCTTCAATAATTAAATAATACTGTTATGAACCTTACACTTATTCATGTATGTAAATGTTAATAATGGGCATGCACAGAGGACTGAATTGTAATAGAGTTGATTTTTTTTAATCAAAAACCTATGACCATCTTTACAGGTATTTTATTTTGCTTTGTTTTGACTGTTGTTTCTGTTGAGTTGTTATGATTTTAAGAAATTATTTTTAAATCTAATTTCACCTTGTTGTGACAATACTGTTAGTATAATAACATGATACTGCATCTAGAAACCAACATGGTTTCACCTAGCAATCCAAAGTTATATTTCATCATCATTTATATCACATATCTCTCTTTGATTTGGGTGAAATGAGATTATATTGCCTTCATCTGCATCTAAGCAATATGAAAATACTTTGGAAAAAATGTTCACAGATGCTCACAGTACATGAATACTAATAACTTTTGAGAATTATGTGAGTGGTTCGAATAACAAAATAAATAGAACACAAAATTGAGTTAACAATAATAATATGGATATTTATATAGCGCCGGTATCCGCCAGGCTCTGACGCTCATGGCGCTGTACATACATGTATTACTATCACAAAAATATAACATTCTTAACTAAAATAAAGTAAACTAAAACAACACAAATTATTACGCTACATTGACATGATTAAATAGCACTGTTTAGAAAGAGATGGGTTTTTAGAGCAACTTTGAAGTTATCGCAATTAATACAAATTTCTTGCTGAAAAAAAAACATACACCAAAATATTTTGCAAAAATGTCACTGTGTGAAAGCTCCTGGTTTAACATTACATTTAAATGTGAAAACATGAGAACAAATTAGTACATTTGCAATACCAAATAACTTTCCCAACAACCTATTCAACTTCACCATCCTCATACATTCTTAACTAAAATAAAGTAAACTAAAACAACACAAATTATTACGCTACATTGACATGATTAAATAGCACTGTTTAGAAAGAGATGGGTTTTTAGAGCAACTTTGAAGTTATCGCAATTAATACAAATTTCTTGCTGAAAAAAAAACATACACCGAAATATTTTGCAAAAATGTCACTGTGTGAAAGCTCCTGGTTTAACATTACATTTAAATGTGAAAACATGAGAACAAATTAGTACATTTGCAATACCAAATAACTTTCCCAACAACCTATTCAACTTCACCATCCTCATACATTACAAACATAATTTTTGCAAACAGTCAAACCTGTCTCAGTGAACACCTGTCTATAGTGGCCATGTATTTCATTTCTTGTGAGAAAGAAATGTGTGTGGTAAAACCATCTAGAAAGGCCACTTGCCTACAGTGGCCAATTTTTCTCTTTGTTTCCCTTGGGTGACCTTAATAAACAGATTTGACTGTTAACATGGAAATATCATTTTAAACAATAGCATGCTCTACAAATCGACATCTATATAAAATATTGCAGGTTAGAACAAATACTCAAAAATAATAAAACAATATAAATCAATAAATGTTTGAATATAAGACAAAAACAGAATACATTTGGTTACCAAAACAGTGTGATCAAAACTGCGCTTTCGTTCAAAATCGGGTTTAACAAAGACGGTTAGGCCAAGGTCTCAGTTTTCCTCTGTTAAACATGATCTTAGAACCCTGGGTCAGGTTTAACAGAATTAGTAGAAGACGGACCTATCTATTCCATCAAACCTTGTCAAATATGCAACTAGAACTTTCCCTGATGAAGATTCATTCACATGGTGCAGTAGTAGTGACAAGTCTGTTCATCCCCAATCATCGTTACTTATGGCCCCTGCCTTGTTCTTGTTCCTGGACTTAAACAACTGGCCTTGACCTCCAGCGCTGACCTAACCTCCCTTCTGTCCAGTGCAAATGACCATCGTTGCCATTCTCCCGTTGTCCGTCGTCTGAATGACACTGGCAGCATTTTGGGAAGGGCGTACATCCTGGGTCGCAGCACGGCTCAAGGTTCTTGTTTTCTGGCTTGTCCACCTCCGACGGGGGCCAGAACATGGTTGATTCAAATTTCGACTTGACCTGCCATTGACACAGGAAAGATAATCAGCATTATTATCTCTAAAGGCTTTCAAGTGGTACAATAAATCAGTGTATTCAATATATTTAGTGCAGGACCCGGATGACTGACCAATATTGTTGTCGTATTGCTCAGTCATCCGGGAACTTCAACTATCGATATCATGGCAATATCATACAAAAATAAAGCCATATTTACAGAGGTAATTCAAATTGTGTTAGTTAGCTAGTTGGACTAATAAAGATAATAATAATAATACTGTATGGCTTTGTTTACGTGTGATAAGAATATATTGCTCTTGCTAAGACAATGTTAGACTTGTCTTTGACTCGTTCAATATTGTCATAGTTCGAGCAATATATTCTTGTATCATAATCACACGTAAACAAAGCCATCCAATATTATATAAATATTCATAATTAACTGACTCTGTTCTATCTTATCAAGACAAGATCTGAAAATGGTACAAATACTTTCCATTTTGAAATGTTTCTTTGCTATTACATCTTCGGAACAAAACATGATTTTTCACTAATGCTTTTTTTGTAAAAACCTATGGGTATATGATTTAATTTTATCATGGCTTCTAACTTTCTTTTTCATAATGCATTATCCAAAGAAAGTAGGAACATGGACAAAAATATGAAGATACATCTTGGAGTAAAATGGGTCTTTTTATTTTGTGACATGCAATCAGGAATAAAACTCATATTAAAGGTACTGTACCATTTGCAGGCCAAAAAAATGAAAAGGTTAAATTCCAACAGCATTTGAAAGATAATACTAATTTAGAACTTCCCTAAAAAAGGTGGAGCTTGAAAATGTCTTCAAGTGTGAAAATAATGACTATTAGTTGTCAAATCGACCTAGGAGCTATAGAGCCAATAAGTAATAGTCTTGATTTTCAGACCATTGTACTGAATGGTCATACGTTTTATGCTGTGCAAAGATTCAATCAGTTAAATTTTGGCCATCACAAGAAGTAGGTTATTGATGTAGACAAATGCTCATGTACCCTTTACAGCTCATTTTATGTATGTTATTATCAAAGAAGAAAAAAGCCAGTCAGTCACTCAATAGTGTCTGACAGTAAGTAGTAAGAAGAAGAGTAGCAAGTAAACAGGTTTCCTTGCATAATTTGAATATTAGGACACTGCTAACATTTAAATTTCACAGATAGGACATACATGACATATTCATAATTCCTGCCAAGTTCTACAGAATTTGAAGTTGGCTGCAAAAGGGACATAGTACCTTTGAGCTATCAAAGAAGAACATCATATGAGACAATAAACAATTTGGGTTAGCCATTAATTCTTTAACACCTTCCTGACATATGGACAAATATATTCTGTTTTCATCTACTGTACCATCGCTTTGGTGAAAGACTCTATACATTTTGCGTAAAGTTAGGACTACTATGAATATTAAACATGTCAAACCTACTTGTTCAATCTGAGCAATCACTGTTGCATAGTTAGAGTTGTTTCCGAGATCGTAAAGCTCTGATGCATCCTGGTAAAGATCGAAAAGCAGAGGAGGATCATGGGATGTCCGCTTGGCCGATGGGCGGCAATCCTTGTCGTGGTTGGTGCTGCCGCTGACCGGAGAACCCTGGGTGTAAAAGTGGGCTTTGTATTGGTGCCATCGTACGGCATAGATCCCAAACTCAGGGTTGGCACTTGTTGGGTAGTAGATGTAGTCTTCTCTCAAAGTCTGATGATTAATCATGATGATGAGGATGATGATGGTGATGATAACAGTATCAATAACGAAACTACTACTACTACTACCACTACCACCACCACCTACACCACTGATACTACTACTACTTCTACTACTACCACCACAGTACTAATTATGGCAAACTGCACTTTAGAATCAACAGTTAAAATAATAACACTATATTGAGAAAGCCCATTTCCTAAGGTTATAATATGCTCAATACTATCATTACCCCTGATTTAAGTGAGCTTCCATGTAATAGTGCTGAGCCATCCCATCCAATGACTCCTACGTGGTATCCCTTTACCTCACCTCGGTCAAGAGTGGCAAATTGAAATAAAATGCAACGCTTTGCATCTCACCTGATTTTGTTCAAACAATATGGGGCTCATATCCACTCCGTCTAATATCACTTCAGGTAAAACAGCTCCTGTTATCTTGGCAATCGTTGGCAGGATGTCGATCTGCGCAGCAAGCTCGATCGTTCGTCCTGGATCGATACGTCCGGTCCAGCGTGCAATAGCTGGGACACGAACACCGCCCTCGTAGGTGGTACCTTTGCCACACTTGAGGAGCCCAGCATTTCCACCTCTTACTTTTCGGGTAAGGCTAGGGCTGGATACATTAAAAAAAAAAAAAAATATGTGATTTAACTAGTGGCATACTGTAGCTAATTAGACTGCACTAGGAAAGTTAATCAATATGAATTGAATCTCAAATTGGTCACTTGGTCAGTGGATTGTGACACAGTCACTGAAAACTCATACTAGTATGTTTGTTGTGTGGAAAAATATCATTGATTTCTGTTTTCTATTACGTGCCTTCTCCCTTTGGTGTACTATTCGAAATATATTATGGATATCACATCATTATAGGCCCTCTAAAAAGAAAAGACCCTCATGATTCATGCAGTTGGAAAAATTGACACTTTAGACGATTTGATTTACAACATTGACAAATTCTGAACTTTTGTTTGTCCGATTTTCGTTTAAACTTTTGCCTTTTTGATTACAGAATGAGTCTATGAAGGTTGGATTTCCCTTTAAAGTCAAATATGGGAACGGTCATTGTGAAGAGGCGTAATGGTCTAGTGGACAAGTCACCCTAAGGTTTCACTGAAACTCTCCAAGGACCAACTTAACCCGTTGGCTACTGAATTATCTTATTCCCATAGACTTAACACAGGGACCACTAGGTTCCCGTAAGCAATGGGTTAAAGGCTCGTTCAGATATGACGCAGCAAAACCGTGGCAGTTTCTATGATGACGTAAAGTGTAATACGTGTCACACTTCTTTATCTTATAATACAGAGCTCAGTGAATACGCCTTTCTTGCGTGCAGTTACCTTTTATTTAATTGTTTCTTTTTAAACGCAATGGCTTATCTGATGCGGTTTACGTCGCCATATGTAAACGAGCCTTTAGTGACTATGTTTAGTTTTGCTTACCCATTATCAGAGGTGAAGAATACAAACGTGTTCTCCGCTATTCCGCTGCTGTCGAGCTGATTCAGTACCTCGCCAATACTCCAATCCAACTCTGCCAGCGCATCCCCGAACGTGCCCCTGACCGTCGCATTACGGAACCTCTCTCCAGCAAATTGTGGGTGGTGTACGTGGTGGTAGGCATAATAGAGAAAGAAAGGCTGGCCTGCTGCTGCGTTGTCTGAGATGTATTTCTTGGCGAGGGTGGTGTAGCGTTCTTCGATGTTTGTGAGATTCGCAGGTTGTTCTACGATGACGGTGTCATTGAAGATGGGGCATGGGCTCTCGTTGGTGCGACAGCCATCGAAACAAGGAGCGTTGGGATAGAAACAGCTGAAGGGGAGAACAAATGGATTCAATCATGCTTCCATTCATTGCATTGGTCTGCTCAACAATCTTGAGCATTATAAATAAATAATAATACATTATATTTATAATGCGCTTAAAACCAATGTTTCTAAGCGGGAAAAAAAAAGAAGAAAAGAAAAGGAATAATGGCTGTCAATATCATTGATAACGTCCCACAGAATAATCATCCTGGTATGAAGAATAACTTGTTCACAGGATACTAATGAATATTTTATAGAAAATAAGAGTTTTCCTTTAAGGACAAATCTTATGACTTTTTCTATTTACTCAGTGTTATTTTTACCAAAGGACTTTGTTAGTTTTCCAGAGCTAAATGCTCATTGATCCTGTGTATGTTTCCTTTAGTTTTGTTGCATGTATCGTGCAATTGCAAGCAATAGCCACATTGGTTATCAAGAGACATTCCGTTGATGGTAACTTTGCCATCAATATCAATTATAATGGCAACATCACTCAATGGCCAATCAAATCAAGGTTTCAATAGAAGTTATCATTAATGGCAAAATTACCATCAATGCAACGGGCCCTGCAACAGGACCATGTAAGGTCCAAATAGTCCAGTCAAATTGGTTTGCTGCAGCTCCGATGATGTCATGTTTCATTAATCAAAGAGAAAAACATTTCTTATAGTAACACATATGTAACATTAAGAAATTTGTGGAGCACACCATGTAAGAATGTGGAAGAAGACAATTATATATTGTTGGATCGTTCCTCAAATCATTTTCAAGAACAACAAGGGCATAATTACATTAGGCATGGGCAAAAGTCTTGGGAGTACGGAATGCCATAGTAATGGTCAAAGCCTTGGGTCGTAGGGAGGTACATGCCATCCTTCCCCACACCTAAATGCCACTTGCCGATGATACTCGACCTGTAGCCCAGGGGGCGGAGAATCTCGGCTATTGTCGTCTCATTGTGAGGGAGACCTCCAGAAGATAAGGGGTCGAACACTCCGGGATAGACTCCTGAACGAACATGGTATCTTCCTGTCAAGATGGCTGCCCTATATTTATTTTTAAAAAAACAAGTTTTTAACATGTTAACAGCACCAGTTTATATTCAACTTTCCAGCTTCCATGTTTTTGTAAAATTAGCCATATTAAGGAGTGAGTTATCAAATGACACAAAGTCAAAAATGTTCTTTAATATTTTAAATATCTGACTTGGATTTACAAACTCTCTTATTGAAAATGAAAGTGGCTGCTGGTTGGACTAATTCTCGCTACCCTAAATAGGTACGAAAATCTCGAAATTCGCGAGACGAGGTAATTTTCACTCTCTCGGGTCGTCACTACAACTTCCGGTATAGAGTCCCATCCCGCTGGCGCTAACGCCTGTGTTCGCTGTGCAGAGTTTTCACGCACGCTAAAATCGATGCCAATCAGTGTAATTTGTACAGATTATAATATGCAATGGAAAGCTTCGGGCAGAATTAGTGACTTTAGCACAAAAGGCCGTTAAACTCTACCATGAAAGAGAGGGTTGTGATCACGAACGCCTGCACAGGAAGCTGTAATGTCGAAAAGCTATCCCATAATGCAATGCGCTTTTCAGGATTTTCCCCGGATCTCGGCAGAATCGCTATTTGGGGTAGCGAGAATTGCATGAATCTGGATTTATCTTCAACTGCTTGAAAACGAACAAAATGAGAAAGTTTCATGGAAAAGATTTACAGACATAAATGATAAAAAGTTTGATCTTCTTCTTTTGTACAGTGTATTCCTTTTTTTCTGAGTCAGAATCTGAAAAAATATGGCTGAGTACTTTTGTTCTTATTCTAGTTCTTATTTCTACTAGACTCTGATATACTATAATCATCGTGGATTAAAACAAATGAATAAAAAATTAAAAAATAATTAAAAAATACCATTTGCACAAATACAGAAAATTGCCTTTCTAAATTCTAGTCTTCTTGCTCTTACTGGAATTGTTATTATTTGAAACCCCTACTGAGTCCTGCCCACCCCCCCCCCCCCCACACACACACACATATAGCAGACACAAAGAGCGTGAGCAGCCGAACCGAAGTAGTATTACCTTGATGGACTGCATACGGGAGCCGAAGAATAGAACTGAGTGAACCGGAGACCTTCGGCTGCCAGACGGTTGATGTTGGGCGTTGAGCTCGTCGGGTGCCCGTATGCCTCTAAATCACCATAACCAAGATCATCAGCGTAAAGAAGAACAATGTTTGGCTTCGATGGTACAGCATGTACAACGGATATCACAAGCCATGTTAACACCACAACAAATCGAAAAACATCCAAAGAAATGCCTTGCATGATGATGGAATTTAAAAAAATCTCTCTCTGCACGCCCAGCCGGCAGCCTTCAATGGTACTGTCAGGTGATCTTGGCATATAGCAGCACGTGATCTAGAGCTTCACCGTCCAAAGGTCATTGGTAGGTCAACCGTGACTCTAGCTCTCTCTCTCTCTCTCTCCTCCGGCTTTTCGTTCGGCATAAGCCGCAATAATTACTTCAAAGTTTTACAGAACTGCTTGAAAATGGCAGCTTTCTTCAGAAAAACTCATCATCATAGTTGCCAAGTCCAGCAGCATATAAACAGGTGCTTGATGAAACGATACGGAACTGATAATCGGGTCAAACTCAAGACGTTTGGATTGGTGAGCTGTTTGCAGATGCAGCATAAAACTGCAACGGCTTCCTCGGGGCCCGATCGGCCGGAGCTCCAGGCGGCAAGTATAGCTGGGAATCCGTTAGGAGTAGAATCTGCATGTTATTTAACTTCAAACTCTTCTTCTGAATTATCTGACTTTGATAATCAAGTATTTAAATGTAAAGCATCAGTCAATAAAACAAATTGTGGCACTTCACAGAGAACTACCTCAACTGTTGAAGAAAATGAAGGTTTTACTTTAACTTTCAGCAGAAAAAGAATCGCACACCAATCACAACAGCAACAGAGTCAGAGTGACGATGTTTCAACAATGTTTGCATATAAGAGAAAATCAGCTACTAAATCAGGATTCATTGATCATGCTGATTATCTCTCGAGTAATAATTTTCTCAAGCAAAGAGCAAGTGGTGGTTTTTGGAAGGATTCACCAGTGAGGCATTATGCAATGGGACCAAGGTCTCAACACAGGAAGGAAAAGTCTTACTACGAAGTCCTCAACACCACACCAAGTGCCACTCAAGCCCAAGTCAAAGAGGCCTACTTCAAGCTGTCCAAGATCTATCACCCAGACAAAAATGCAGGCAGCAAGGAAGCCCAGCGGAAGTTCGCCTTGATCAACGAAGCCTACAGTGTCCTCGGCAACCTCACGTTACGTAAGCGCTACGACCGTGGCACTCTCAACCAGCGGGATGTCCATGGAGAGGTGAAACCGGAAGAGAAGGCTGCGGAAGAAGGAGTGAATCGTGATCCCATGTACACCAGTTCTGGTATGGCTTTCAGCATGGAGGCAAAACGGCAAGCCAAGAACATGGATGACTTCTTTAGCAAACACTATCAAGACGCAAGGGATAAGGAGCAGAGGAACAGAGCAGAGAGGCAGCAGCGTATTGATGAATACATGGACCTCCAGAGGAGGGCCAGGCTCTCTCCATTGTTTCTTGCAGCGTGTTTGATTGGTGCACTTGCCATGGCTGTAACGAGTATTGCACGGAATGACACAGTATATGTAGAGAAGGAACAACCAGGAGCTAATAAAGAAACAAAATAATTACCTAATTATCAGTCAGTCAGAGTTTAGGATGAGAGTGGCAAACAAACTGTTTAAGTAGCAAATATACTTACGCCATTACATGTAGGTAGTCTAATTTAATCGAGGACAGATAATCATTTTTACTTTCCTATATATGTACCTTTACAAGATAAAGTTTATATTCATAAATAGGCTCAGATCATATAACTGTACAAGTACACCTGGGGGTGTTTCACAACTTTTTTGACTAAGATCAACTTTAAGTTGGACTAAACTATGGACCAATGCTAATTAATGGTGAATACAAACAGTGGCAAATACAAACGTTCATGCCACTGTTTGTATTCACAATTAATTGGCATTGGTCTCTCAAAAGGATGTACAAATCATGGTCACAAATCTACAGAATTTACATTTTTGGATATTTCATTATTGAAGGAAAATATAATATCTAAAGATCATAATGGTGAGAGCAAACGGTGGCACTAAAAGCCTGACATTGTTAAGTCCGACTTAAAGTCAATCTTAGTCTTTGTGAAACACCCCCCAGGTGTATGTTTTAAACAAATGGCTACCATTGTAGTCCTCAGGTTTGCTATCACTTGTTTGACTACAACTTTCCCAACAGTATTTTGTTCATTAAGTAATTTATGTACAACTGTAGATACCAAGGTTTTATTTTTACTCTTAGTATATATAGAATTTTAAAAGATTTTCTAATGGACTGAATTTGAATACCGGTACATATGCAATGGATTAATTGCATACAGGTACATGTACATGTATATTCAAAGTCAGTCTATCATAGACTCCATGTAAAGTCTCCTAGTATAGGGAAACATAAAAAATTCCTCTAGAACAAGGAAATTGCCTCGTAATGATATACGGACATAATATCAGGGTTCACAAGTCAGGGAATGATAAAAATGTTAATGATAAAACTTACCTTGTTAGAATGAGAATGAGAATGAGACTTTGTTATATAAAGAATTTATTATGATGAGCTTCCATATTACAGGAAGTAAAGCAAAAAATAGGCAAAAGCAAAAACAAAAAACACAAATATGTAAGATATCATGTATCGATGCATACTTACATACATTGGTATTAGTGTTTTATCTAGTTGCTGTTTGCCGTACATTTTAAACCAACTTACTAGTTTTAATCATTAAGCAGTTTTATGTTTGGTGATTAATTTTTAAATGTTTTGAACTTTTAATCATAATACTTTTTTCTTTTTCTGACTTTACAGTCTCAGACAGTTTTGTGCAATTTGTATTCTTATGTTTTATTATATAAAATAGACTACATTTGCAAGTATGTGTACCTGTAAATATGTTAATAATAATAATATTTTCAAAGATAAATATATAAATGAATTTGCCTACAGTATTCTTCTAGAATTTCAGTCTAGAGCTTGGTTTAAGCTTTTATCTGAAGTAGGGTGTCATAAAGAGAGTTAATTGGGGGTCTACTCTAATTTGTTTTTATTTGTTAAATGTGATCTAAGACCCTGGGCTGGGTAAACTGAATTAGTAGAATATGGACTATTTACCATTTACTTTATGGCAGATGTGAGTTGGTTTTTGAATGTACACGTATAATGGACAGTGATTCACTGTACAGTAGATATATGAACTTTCAGGGTCTTGCTGCTCACGTACAGATAAAGTATATTTCTATTATCAAGAAATGAACATAATTGTGTGTGAGCTTGTAGGTGTTTCTTTCTTTACGTACTGAAAAAAATACTGCATCATTAAAAGTGTGCTGCTGAATTGTATTGCTCAGTGGAATAATGTATGGAATCCAGTAAACGTAAAAATGCAGAAGTAGTAATATATTAGTAACTTATGATGATCCATATACCGGTATTCATGTGTTTAGACACATTGCACACACATCTTTTGTGGATTACCGAGGTGAAAAAGTTGACATGCCATCTGATAATCTGACACTGACTAGTCGTACATCACAGGTTAAATGGAAAGGTTTTCTAGTTTGCTGTGCATGGAGTACATATATTCAAACTTCAAAGTAATTTTACTTGTACATGTATTATGCCGAGTTGCTGACACCAGGTCCAGAAATTTTTCTTGGGTTAGTTTATAAACTCTGCTGTCAACTAAAACAATTCAAAAGAATGTTAATGACACTTCTCATTACTGTATGTCAAATTTTAACTTAACCTATTGCATACAAGGACTGTATTTAAGCCTAGGAGAATTGGAGCATTTCAGTGCAATGGGGTAACAATATTATGCACAACTACAGCTGTTTTAAGAAATGATTTTAATAGGAGCAGAGTGCCCGGGTAGACATGATATTATTCAAGGTGCGTTTTTTTCTTGGGCAGGTGATACTTAAATAAATCCTCTACTTCAGCACAAAATGATGAAGAAGTTTATGGATACATTTATGTGTACCAACATCTTTTAGAATATATTCATTTATTGTTATATTAACTGCCAAACATATCTTTTGAAATTGATTTGTTTCAGGCTTCATGCTACATGTGAATGAATAAATTTGTATCTATTCTAATCACAACTATGTTTGTTTGACTTGTTTTATTTCATATTTTGTTTTTGATTTATGTAAGAATATAATTTTGTACAAATATATTGTACATGCACTGACAAAACAGAATGTACTAATTACAAGCAAATTGTGCATCTCATCAGGTCTGTTTTGTCTGCTCTCTCTCCCTATTCTCCATCTCGCTTTATATCTGTCTTTCTCTCTCGTTTGATTTTCACTCTGTCTCTCTCGTTTGATTTTCACTCTGTCTCCCTCTCTTTATTATTCAACCAATTACGCTGCAACATACATGAAGGTAACTTTATTAAAGTTATTTTCCTTGAACTCGGTTGATCAGTACAGAATAGACAAAAGTTAGAGATGCCAAACAACATGTATTTACTTCAAATAATAAAGCGAAAAATCTTGATTGATCTTAATATATTTAATACAATCTTCATGAATATAGTCAATGAATATAGTCAATGATTTTACAAGCAAGTACGTGTATGCCCATAATATAAATTGCTCAATCAACGTACACAGCATATACAGAAATGTACAATATTGGCACATGTACTAAAATATATGGACATAAGTAATGATCATTAAATAAAAAAGCTAATGAACTAATTTTCAATTGAATCAATATGTCATCTTAATGATTAAATGGTTGTTTTCATCCTTTTTTTCCCTTTCTTTTATTAACTAAAAAGTAAAAATGGATATCTAACTGGTTCTGTTTAGTCTATATAATTGTTAGATACTTAATATCTCTACTCCAGTACTCTCTAATAAACATGTATGCAATGGTAAAAAGATATTTGTTTAAATTATTTATAAGAACTGCTTCTAATAAACAGTAGTTGGTGATTTGTTGACATATGTATGTTTCTAATGTGATTTGACAAAAGCATGAGAAGAAAGGTAAAAATAGAGACCATGAAGTGATCGAGTCATTCCAATTGACTTATTTCAGTAGAACAGTTCACATTTTTTATTTTTCACTCCTGCAAACAAACAATTACTACATGAACTTGTCTTTAGACAGTAGCTTTGCAAATTCCATTGATATGCCAACTGCTGCTTTTGAACAAAGGACAAAAAAAAAAAAAGCAGTGAGCAATTTACCTCTGGAAAGTGCTACAAGAGACGTTTCGTTAAAAAAAAATGCATGAAAAGGGAAACCGCACCTTTTCTTCCGCAAATCACAACTCTCAAACCAAAATGTGTTTTTTAAACTTGGTGGTCATTTTCATCTACACGTATCTGAGATTTAGCTAGATGGGGCAGGAAAGTACCAGAAGAACTACTTCAGACACTGGTGTACTGTTAAAAGATGCAAGAGAGATACCTGGTACCGGTAAAAAAACAAATTTTGATTGGCCAGACATTTTTAACTATGTATACAGCATTTTGCTTAGTTACATTACATTAGTATGTCATCTTAAGCACTCGTTTTCAGTGGCTTCAAATTTATTTGCACATGAACTTTCTTTGGAATTCAATGCTTGAATGATAAAACTGCCCATTACCGATAATCCATATACATGTATATTAGATTTCTTTATTGCATATTGGCTAATTGAAATAGATAATTAAAACACAATCAAACTCAACACAAGGGCAATTTCAAAACTCTATTTTTATATCCAAAAGAATTATGTTTGGATTACATAATGCGTCACTGTCGTGTTTCACACATTTCAATAGGTGACGCACAAGGCTATTGAAATTGCCTTGGATTGACTTTTCGAAAGAAGTTGCCCTTCACCATTCACCCATAAAAATAACATGTCACATAAATGCCTCTAATTCAATGTTTGAAATGTTGAACTTGGATATTCAGCAAGGCAATATATAATGAGACAATACAATAAAACCACAATTTTAACAAAATGAATTTCCTATTCTATTACAATGTCCCTTTTCTTTCTATTAAATTTCCTTTGGTTATTGAATCATGTTTTTCCACCGATATTGTTTTTTTTTTAATTCAACTAAAATCAATAATTTAATAAGCTCTGGAACACAAAGTGCACAAGTTTGTATACCATCACTGTACAGGTATATATTGGGAGTATAAATTATAATGCTTGATTATTTACAAAAAAATTCTACAAGAGTACTTGATTAGTGCATGAAACGATGTACAAAATATAGCTACACTGCAATAGTTCTATGATACCAATCACTTTAGGTATGATCAAAGAATCAAAAGACGGAACGAGCAAAAAAAAATCGAAAATATGCAGGTAACAGAAAACATACTGGTGTACTACAAATTATATATAGGAAATAATACTGCTAAAATCATGCAATGAAGTTCAGTCACCGAAAAGTTATTAAGTGAAAGCGTAGAAGCAGCAACATTTGATCACCCTATTAAAAATGCATCCATATTTCAAAATGCACCTCCAGTTTTCTTACAAAGAGGGTGCGACAAATGCTCTACTGACAATTGCTCTGGGCTTGGAATTTGTCAGTACAATAGGGGGGGGGGGGGGGTAGATATATATCATTTGTTTGAAATACACATATGCTCGGATGAGGCCAATGTCATGAACATACCAAAGTCAGAAAATGAACCTCCGTTACTATTTGGACATACAGAGATCTTTAGATTGTTTCTGTGTTCAGAACAATGATACCAGCAGCAAAAACCAACTAAAAAGGAAAGAAGAGAACACCTATCCTGTAATTTCAAAAGGCAAGATCACACAAATTATAATCAATCAATCAACATACTAAAAAACGTACCCATCTATGAAATTTTCTACATGAAAACAATGATGAAAGGGTTATGACCTGGATATGACAAAAGAGCAGTCTATAATGTACCTGAATCACACCCCAAATCGGGTGGAAACATGGAATTGATGAGTAAAATGTCAGGGTATTGAGGCAGACCCACCACAGGTGTTCTTCTATACATACAGATAGCACATCAATATTAATGGCCTGTGAAAATTAGTCTGCTTAAAATGATTTAAAGAAATAAAAAACACAATTTCACTCTCATTTGAACTTTGCCTAAAGTTATACAAATATATGCTTGAAAATGAAATATGCATGCCTGTTTCAAATTGCCTCACATTTTATAAAAGCATCAATATATTGTTTGAATCAATTAATCAATACAATTACTGATCAGAACACTCAAACCTTGAAGTCAACAACTTTCAAAAACATTCAATATGATCCCACTGAAAAATTGTTGAAAGATCACATGGACAATGATATCTTCATGCCTTATTATTTGTTTTCAAATAACAAGAGGATACAAGAGGATACACATGCTCTTTCAGTACTTTAAAGCGATACTGAACTGATTGAACTTTCTGCCCTAGCACACTATATATTGCACAGCGCCACCTCGTGGTCAACTTGCCAACAGTGTGCAACCCAATACCTCATTTCCACTTCGCAGACAGGGAACTCGACATGAGAACCAACAACGCAGCTGGGGGTGCAGCAAGTTACAGAAACAAACTGCTACAGCTGACACAAGATGGCGCTAGAGGGGCCAGTATAGCTTTAAGGGTTTCAAAACAGCTATCACTCTATACCCTTGCTTTGGGATCATAGAAGACTTTCAATCACATCAATTGTACATCAGACTAAAACGAATTTTTGATCATTATGACTAATATTCACAATCAACTTTAAATGGCAGTGTAACCACTAACCACCTCAATTAAAATGTTTTGATTCAATTAATACACGATAAGATTAAACATTACTTAATCATTTAAACCAATATAGCAAAATATGCATGCATGATTAGATAAAAATAGTAATAAAATTTACTTTCTTTTTTAAATTTTTTAATAATTTTTATAGGTGACCCTCATTTAAAACATTCTCATCCAATATTTGCCCTGGTTACAGTTGCAACAAGCTTTATTTGGCCAAATATATTGGGTAAGGGTTAGTGTTGTGCTTGGGTTTTAGGTAAAGTTCAGGGTCAGGTTATAGCATTGGTTGCAGGCTTGAACGAATCAGGAATAAGTTTAGCATAGGAAATTGACTGCAAAGCAATTGTCGCGACACATGTGTCATAAAACCTCATGTAACTAAAATGATAATTACCAGTACAGGAGTATCTAAATTTATGGCTACTTCTGACAATGAATGAGGCACAAATTTTATTTAGAATGTGCCATGCGCTGATGATGACGTGTGAAGGAGTATAGGTCAAATGTCATTGCCAAGGTATCAAGGTCTGTTTCTACAAACTGTTTTATACACTTGTATTCCCCAGTTATTGAATAAGTTAAAGCTGTCAAAATATTCATTATTTCCAGCATTGTTTTAAGTTGAGACCTGACAAGTGTGATGCCTCAAAGCCTGTCAATTCTTCGACATTGTTGGGTCATATTTTACCAGAATGTTTTACCAGAATGTTTACTAATACGTTAAATATCTGGGCTTCAAAACTTGCTCCAGTGCATACTAATTTGAAACCGTAGTTGTCATGTATGTGGGAGAGGGACACCAGGAAGTCTATTCCTCAAGGCTTACCTTATTAATCAAATTCTCAAGTGAACACCCTTCTCCAGGACATACAATGTAATATTCACTGCAAAACAACAAAGTGGTCCATGATAAAAACTCACTTCTAGTGGTGTCATATTCTTGCACATGAAAACAGAGCTAGCTTCACAGTTGCACATCACTTCCTTGAGTGGTTGGGGAATGAGATCATCTACCCCATCCAAAGTGTGGCACCGACACTGCTCTGACCTTGATGAAGGAATTTAAAAACAGTCATACACTGATACAAGCTTCTTGGCAGAGGACTGTTTATTAAAACCTTGATCCAAAGTGAGAGATACATGGCTCTGTGGCATCTAAGGGGGTGATTTATCAGGACCAAAACCAATTGGTACCCTTGTCGAAGGTACATTTGCCTCAAGTGGCATTTCCCTTTTCTGAGGGTGTAACGCACTCACATGTACCCTGTAGGACTTCACAGTAACGCTGCGCTCACAGGCATGTCTCTGAAAGAAGCAGAACCATGGGATCAAGGTACAGATACATAACGGTAAATGTAATAGATGTCATAACTGCAATTGCTATTGTAGATTGTCCACTATTATAACTGCCTTCATCTAATAATGCTCAGTCTCAGTTTGGCAGTTTAGAAGATGTTAACGAGGAAAAGCTGGTAGTGATGGCATATTGGGTGTTGATTGGTAGGCCGCCCATGGTGACCCACTGTACGCTACAGGGGCAGGCGCAGGTGCCGGGATGTGTGCAGGGTGCCCAGGATAGTACGAGGGCATCTGGTTACCAGTAGCAGGAGGAACACCAGGCGCCGGTCTGGCAGGCATGGGGGTGTAGCCCATGGGCGTGGTCATGGGGATATCTACATTCTGCGGGAGTGCAGGATAACTAGGTTTTCTCAAGAGTTCTTGCATTTTGTCAGATTTAATTCGCCGTACATGCGCCATCATGCGCCGCTGCATGAATTGTTCGACAAAGTCTGATATGGGTAAGTTGCCATTCAGGAACTCTTCAGCGATTTCCTGAGTGGGGTGAAACAATAAACACAAATGACTCAAGTCAAGTATGGAATGTATCTTGATTTATAAGCAAAATATTGACAAAAAGTTATTTCCTCTAGGGTTGAAGCAAAATAACAACACTTATGACGACATGCTCAAGTACTGCACTGATGCTACAAAATTCAATCAAATGTACAGAACATGTAATACCCCATACTATCTTAATGGTGGCTTTCCTGCCACATCGTACATCATCGCTGGAGAGCTAGGGTGCTGATATTAAAGCACACACTTCAACCCCCTTCTGGTTCTCATGGGATAACCAACAAATCTTTAGTTTTAGACAAGATATTAAAGCAGGCATTTGGCTATAAATGCTGAATATTGGAAGCATTTCAATTTTCAATATTAACAGAAGAATATAATTAGTATAAATACAACCTAATGTAGTATCTTGCATCAATATTGGGTTAAAAATATTATCAATGACCAAGTATAAAATTTACATATAGATAGATGGTTAACTCAATGCTCTACACATTTGTCAAGCATTAAGAGCGATAACTACGCCACTGCTGAAGCCTGATCAGATATGGCATGGTAAAAATGGGCTTTTTTGTTGCTGGTACATGTATGATGATGGGAGTGTCATAGTTACATACGCATCACATTTTTGTATCTGATATCACAGAGCTCGGTGAATACGCGCCGGGCCTTTGCCTATTTATTTACACATTGTAAGAATGTTGCTGTGGTTTACCACTTCATATTTCAACGAGCCTTTAGGGGATTCTGTAATATTTTCAGGCTAAGATATAATAGTTCTTCTTTTTCAAGATTTTCTAGGACCAGAGTAAACCCACTCCATAATACTCAAAACAGGAAATGGATTCTTTATCATCTTTATTTCCTTTTCTTTTTTTGGTTAAACAACAGACTTATTGAATTACCACTGAATTTCAAAGCACTTATCTTATATTTCTTAAAGTGATACCCTAACTATTACATTTGCAATGCAACAATATGAGACCAATAGAACTCTCTATTAAAAGAAGAGGCTTATTAAATTACTGTTGAGAAACTCCCAAGTACTTGCATAGTGCTATTCAGATATGGCATGGGCATTAATAACGGGAATCCGCCTAAAATATCCGCTGCTGCAAAAATTAAATGATGAAAGCGTAGTGCCCTTTACAAATCAGTACCATAGCATGCAGTTCACAGAGTATGCCTTTGATGCATTGTACAGTGTAGCTTTTTTCCCCTCTTCATTCCCAGTTGTTATTTCACAATCAAGTGTACTTTTGTTGTTGGTTGCTGTAATGCTCAGCATCTAAATTTTTAAGTGTTTTATTGTGACATGTGTGAACTGAGCATTAGAATATTTTGTGTAAAGTCTGATTTGAAGGGAAATCCAACCTTGACAACAAACTACTCTAGAGGAAAGCAGAAAACTCAGGGAAGTAGACTGGTGAACGTTTGAATGTAATCAGACAAAAAATTGAGATGGTGAATTAAAAAAAAAGTTGTGATCAATATAGGTATGGGCTCTTTAAATTGACTAAATCTGTAATGTGTCTGTTATGTATGTAGTGGCGGACAACTTTCCTATTTGTTCCAACACAAAAAATGCCTTTAAAAAAAAGAAGAGAAAATAGAAGACCTACTTATTACAAGCAAAAGGACATGCAGGTTTGCATCACTTGTTAAATGATATGAGATTCGTTTTAATTTTTAACCACAAAATCATTTAGTCCAGTTGGATATCCTGTTCAGAAGAAGAAATACCAGGATGATGTTACTCAAGAATCTTCAATTGAATGTGTAATTGCCTAAATATAGACTCATTTTATTCAAACGTGTCAGAAGATTTTCTGGTATTTCGAGTGTAACATCTGTATTTAACTTCCCAAAAGTAATATATGAAGCTGATATTTTAAATAGAGTATGCTTATCTTATTGGTAATTGGTCCTCTGTTAAACTTAACAAAAATGACAGGGAGGGGGCTAGGGAAGGAATAAGGGTTAAGACCTACCTCTGATTCTTCTTCTGTCTTGGTAGCTGATGTTTCTAACATGACTTTGGCAGCATCCAGTGAAAAGTTCTCATTTAAAGACTCTGGAAAGAAAATTGAACATTGGGAAAACATGATACTGGTATGAACGTTACTTGAATAGTGACTGGACACTTGCTCAAATTTTGTCAAATCTGTAGTGTTAAGATAATGATGGCAATGGACTTCTCCTGCACCTTTTTCCCCAGCCTCGAGCAAGGGGTACTCAATGTCCAGCTCCATCAAACCAAACATTTTTTTTAGTGCCACACATTTCTATGTTACATTTTTCTTTTTATTGAGACACTTTATATGTATGTATGCCTGCACAGCACCAGATGGTGGCCCATGACTTACAGCAGCTTAAAAATCACTTTAAGTTAGGTTTAAGGTTAGGGTTAGGTACAGTGTTTGGTCTAGGACTGAATGTAGGAATTTTGTTAGTGTATGAAATTACCACAGAGCTATTCTCGCCAGAGCATGGGTCATGAGTGGAACCACTTACATGTAAACTGAAACACTTTTAAGTTTTCATAGATGATTATGAATTGGAAACGAAACCAGATTAATCTAGACCAATCTAGCACTACAATGTAGGTGATGTAAATTCATAAATTAAATAAACATTCAAGACATCTCAACGTTACTAAAGTGCATCCTGTTAATTGTTGCTGAATGCAGAACATAAATCAAAATCTGTATGTGGAGTTACAGCCCATAAAGCCAAGATGTGCAATTACCCTATTTGTAGACATACATTTTCACATGAGTACATTTGGGAATCTACACTTTTAAGTTTTCATAGATGATTATGAATTGGAAACGAAACCAGATTAATCTAGACCAATCTAGCACTACAATGTAGGTGATGTAAATTCATAAATTAAATAAACATTCAAGACATCTCAACGTTACTAAAGTGCATCCTGTTAATTGTTGCTGAATGCAGAACATAAATCAAAATCTGTATGTGGAGTTACAGTCCATAAAGCCAAGATGTGCAATTACCCTATTTGTAGACATACATTTTCACATGAGTACATTTGGGAATCTACAAAAAACAGTCCCAAGATGTACATGACCTTTGACCTTGTGGAGGTAAACAATCAAAAATCTTACAAAATTTGGAATATGCTACAGTATTATCAACCCGCAATACGTAGTTAATATACAGTACTGTATACACAACTTTTGCTAAGGGATAACAACGGCCATTTCTGATTTTCTATGGCAAGGAACTAATAAATTTCCAAAATTTGTCTTGCGATTAGTGAGTACAAAACTTTCGCAAGTCTCGACGATTCACAAATTCATAAAAAGTTTATGGTTGACAGTATCTATCCTACTTTACGATCATACCTAATCTTCTCCTGTCTACGTCGTAAACGTCTCGTATGCTCTTTGCCTCTTCGTGTAGACGGCCAAGCTGGTTCCGTCCTTCCCGTAACCTCGTCTCTCGGGACAGATTGTGGTCAGCCAAACTCCTGTTCTCTGCCATGGCCATCTCCTTGTCCACACGCCGCTGCTTGTTCTGCTCAATCATAAATGTTGATAATAATAAAACAAATTATTAAATATGTTATCATTAAAGGAAAACAAATTTAGACATTTATTTGCTACTTGGTGACAGATCTTTTTTTATTGCCAATATGTACATTAAAAACATACCAGTAAACAAAACCAATATTGCAATAATTAAGGATAAAGGTGAAGGTATTTTATTGACTAGAGGAATAAGTTTAGGGTGATCTTGTATCAAACTGTCAAATATGATTTTATAGCCCCAATAGAATATGGATCAGACTAAAAATATCTACATGTAGGAAACAGATACTTTTGTTGTTTAGAATAAATGTTCACTGTAGACTTTTATCAAACATTGATATACTCAGACAAAAAGGTACCTCTGATTGTATACTACAATAGACTGATAATGATTTTAATGATATCTCTACCATAAGATCTAGAGAGTTAAAGAATCATGGGAGTAAAGAATTAGCATACTGAATCATCTTTCCAGACTTTTGAGAGGAATTAAAACCTCATTTTCCACAATTACTGTAATAAAATTAAATGCGAACCTGATCAGCTCGCCTACATGTACTGTACATGTAGCTGAGGTGATGAGCCGTGCTTAATTAATGCAAAGTCATTGTGAATATGCGTACTCCACGTAAAATTATGTCAGTTTTAAGGTAAACAACTTCCGATTCCCAAAGCTTTAGATTTCGAGCTTTCAGAGATAGATCTGTTACTCCTCTAACAGACACTTAAAAAGCTTATAATTGATATTATTGTAATAACAATAATAATAATAATACTCAGTTTTTATATTAGCACTTGTATTACAATCAGTAAGCGCTTCCAAACTTGGAGATTATTAACCCGGCTTTAGCTGTTCTGCCATTACGGCGCTCTAGCATTTCAAAGAATTAATTCCTGCCAGGGAACCCATTTACATCACCTGGGTTGAGTGTGGCAAATCTATGGCTTAAAGGCTTTCCGTTGATACATAATTCATCTATTTCATTCTTCGCTTCCGACAGGGTCTTTAAGATATGGAAGTCTTAAAGGCTTTCCGTTGATACATAATTCATCTATTTCATTCTTCGCTTCCGACAGGGTCTTTAAGATATATGGAAGTCTGGTTCAAAGTTATACCGGTACATACATGTACATGTACTCGACATGGACATAATCTATCTCCTCCACCCAAGGACAAATATACAATGTTCAAGTCTTTCTTCATGAAGGAATAGCAATAGGAAGAAAAGTACATGTTTACTTTTCAATACCGGTAGTCCATGCAGCTCATTGTCAATTATTGTGTAGTCATTGTAATGAGAACAAAATATGCAGTTTAATACATGTACATAGCACTTTTAGCAGTTTCTTTTATTATTTTTTACCAGTATACAGTTTTGCATAAGTTCAAAAAACGATGCAAAAGTATGATACTCCATTTACATTTAATACCAGAAAATTAAAAGATGAGCATACTTCTATTTTTAGTCATTACAATTTTGTGTATGTACTCGTCCACAATTCCATTCAACCACAGACATGCATGTGGTTGAATGGAATTGTATGTATGCCGGCATGTACATGTACACTGCAATAACAGTCACAATAACAACAACTATCATTTGTATCAGGATATTCATACAGAATACATAAATCAGCAAGAGAAACACTTAATAAGATTGAAAAGAAATACCTCTGGATGATCATAATCCATGCTGTTATATGAATTTCCTTCAGTATCTGCTTTCAAATTACAACTTTCTTCAATAGTGAAATGATGTACTTATTCAAGTGATATGTAGGCCTACCGGTATTGCCTTTTCAGTCAAACAGAGCTACGGTAGTACCCGTCCCTATACAAAGAGAACTCCCGGGTTATTTGCACCCTTCAATGCCCTCATTGTCAGTGAAAATGGTGTTTTTTCTATTCATACTCCCAATTCTGTCCTTGCCAAAATTTGGATAAAAGTAAAGGAGCTTCTATCATTGGAAACAGGTCATGTTTTTCATGACGCCTTATGAAAACAAATACATTTCACTTTTAAAAATTGAGGAAATTTTTTATCCTGCAGGTTCTATTACTTTTCAGATCACCACACTCTACATTAAAGTACAGGATGTTGATGCACCATGCAAGATCAATCTTTGAAGTGTACTAATATAACCTGCTTCATTCTGAACAGATCATTGATTTCACATATAATGAATAACATATCTTTGAAATAAAACAGAAGTGGAGCATAAAATGTAAATCTCATAATTAAAGACTATTTACAACATGTTTGACAATTAAACCTACATGGACTTTCTTTCCAGGCACACCAGGAGCTTTTGGTGATCTGCTGAAATTATTCATGGTGTCCGTATCTTGATGCTTCGATCTTTTATAAATGCTAAAGGACAAATTCGTTGAGATGTTTTACGTCGTCAATGAATACGATGTCAATTTACTTCCTGCAGTGATTTACAACCGATGCTGCTTTAACATTGGGCTGTACATGTCCGTGCAATCGGAATCAAGAATAATTGTATCTCAAAGCTGCTTCACGAACGTCTACTCGGAGGGTAGTCCTGTCGAGGCCTTTTTACTTGGTCTTGATGAATCAGAATGTGATGCAAAGTCTCTTCCAAGTAACTTACAAGCAACGCTACAGGCTGTACATGTCCGTGCAGACTGGATGAAGAATACTAGTTGTTGTGTATCATGGCTTCTCCGAAAAGCATCGTCGAGGTGTTTTTCTTTGAAAATGAATTATGATACTTCCTGCAGTAATTTACAACCAATATTGCAACTTCAGGCTATACAGTGTACATGTACGTAGAGTTTTGCAGACTGAATCAAGGAAAGATCTTCACAATTGTCTACTGAGGAAATGTGCAGTCCAGGTGGTTTAATACGTGGTAAATGAATATGATGCTAATTTACTTCCTGCAGTAATTTATACCCGATATAATAACCATGGAGTAGGGTATACTAACTACAGGCTGTACATACTACAGACTACGGTGTGATCTCCTTGACTGAACCAAGACAAGACGTGTGTCATAGCCTATGAAGCTTCCTGGATGATTTGCATTTAGACAGTATGGAAAGGAATGCTTCCAACCCAGCAGGGGGAACAGCACTCTCACAAGTTACCTGTCATATCCAATGCAACTTGAAAAGGGGGCAGACCCCGATTTAGCTTTCATTCAAGACTTTTCATCTGACTACAGGTAAATTTAAAAAAGAAATTGAAAACAAATAACCATTTTTTTTTCTTCTTTTTTTTCTTAAATATTAAAACAAAAGATAGAACTTGAAAAGGGGGCAGACCCTGTTTTAGCTTTCGTTCAAGACTTTTCATCTGACTACAGGTAAATTTAAAAAAGAAATTGAAAACAAATAACCATTTTTTTTCTTCTTTTTTTTCTTAAATATTAAAACAAAAGATAGAACTTGAAAAGGGGGCAGACCCCGTTTTAGCTTTCGTTCAAAACTTTTCATCTGACTACAGGTAAATCTTAAAAAGAAAGTGAAAAGAAAGTGTTTTTTTTCTTCTAATTTTGAATAAAATGAATATGGATGAATAATTTTTCTCTTAAATATTAAAACAAAAGATAATCTTACAAAGGAATATAACAACAACAAAATATGTGTGTTCCGAATTGTCAAAGTCTGTTGCTGCTTTTCTTTGTGTTCCACCTCACTTTGTTCTTCATGACAGATTCCTTTTTTTCTCACCCTAGAAAGAGATTTTTGCCTTTTAAAATTATTCTTACATTAAAATCTCCTCAAAATTCATGTGACATGTAAGTCATGTACAGGGGTGTACATATTCCTATATTGTACATGCAGTGCTCGGAATGTACCACAAATCCAACTTACTGAAACCTGCATAGCCACCACCTGTACAGAAAGACCACATGTCTATAGGATCGTTTTTCTTGTTTCCCGTATTAAGCGGTCTTTGGGTGCGTTTAAGCTTAAATTTTGAAGGCAGAATGAGCGATTTGTAACGCTCATCGTAAACGCTCATCGTAATCGCAGTTCCACTGTGTACTGTTCATGCTCACTTCTCTGGCTCCTCCAGGCAATTCTCCCTGTGTGGCCTTAATTGGTCTTCCAGCTGGATTCGCAAACCTTCACTGTGCATGCTACGTAGACCCACTAGAGGTCAGTGCGTTGACCCCATTTAAACGCGTTTACAAATTGTAAACGCATCTTTTTGTGAGTTTACGATCGGCGATCGTGATCGCCGTTTTTCAGTGATTCTACAAAAGTGAGCATGGACGCAACCGTGTTTTAAACTAAACGCGTAACAGATGCCTGATTCTGGCCAGAAAAAGTGAAGCATGAACACGCCCTTTGTATACATGTACAGGTTTCACTGTATAATGTGTGGTGAGTTAAAGCCTTACATACCTGTGTTTGACCCCTTCACACCAACCGGGACTCAACACTGACAGGTGCCCAAATTATCAGTCTGGACCCCACCCCCCCCCCCCCCATAAAAAAAAATAATAAAAAAAATAAATAATAATAATAATAAAATAAAAAAAGTTTTAAAAAAATCAACAAAAAAAAAATCAACAACAACAAAAATCAAGAGTTTTACATACACCTGTAGGACTCATGTAGACAGACTCTAAAAATTGAAATTGGGCCCCTATCTTATAAAGAGTTGGGATTGATCCAAATCAATCGCAAGAATTCAAGCAATCACAAGTCCTAATCAATGGCAAGTTTGCAGTCCCATATGTACATGTACATGTAGTTGCGATTGATATCAATTGCTAATAAGTTGCTATTAAAAATATCAACTCTTTATAAGACAGGACCCAGGACTCCCCTTTAAACAAATTTGTGGAGTCCTACCTTCCAACACTTGTACAAATTGTTTTCCTGCAACACATCAGAATTGCATTAATTATGAACAAGAGTCTGTTAAAATCCACAGGTAGTCTACATGCTAATCTAAACCACAACTGCAGGAAATAATATGTAGCCTCACCACAATTACATGTACAAAATACTACTCACATACATGTACACGCTTAGATGTACATGTTAATAAATGAGCATGATTTCTGTGAAGGTTAAATTATACAATCTCTGATTGTGTTATACATGTACATGTATGTTTTGTTTATGTCTCTGATAGAATGAAGTCTACTGTCATATATAATTCAAACTACATGTAGTTATTGTAAATAGTGGAAAACAAGGTACTGTACACAAAAATAAAATCTTAGAATATATGTAATTCTGATTCATAAATGTAGACAGTTATTATACTGATCTACATGTACAGTTGATGTAAATTATGTACACTGTAGGCCTATCATTTTGCAATTAAAATGCTTGCAATTCTGTAATTGCACTTCAAGTACGCCTGCAGACAGATTGCAATGATTATTCAGAGTTTGAATAAACAATGGAAGGTGAGGTCAGTCAAAGTTCCTTACCATTTACAAGTACCTGATGAATCATACTTGACTAAACTACATGTACATAGCCTGAACTGAAATAGTTTCTACAGGATCTTTGTTTGTTTGTAGATCTACGAACCAAATACACCCAGTTACTGCAAATAATACAGATTTTTGATGATCCAAATAAATTGTCATAATTAGTAATTGATGTACAATGTAGGTGTAAGATGGATGATCATACACTGTACGGTACATAATTGGTAGCATACTGTACTACAATGTATACTGATCAGATAGTGTCATCGCTATTCCTATATGACCATGAGTAATTGAGTATTACACAAACAATGTTGCACAATCATGATGGATATGTGTGGGTTCAATCTACTCAGAAATGTAGCTGTATTGTACTGCTCAGTATTAACACTGTATACACTTTTTTCAATATGTTCCTCCTCAATTACAAGATTGTATTCATGAGGATATTTTGAAATCTTTCAATTTCATACAAGAACTGTATGTTTTCAGTATGGCAATAGAAAATGTTATTATTATACGTACATGTAGAAGAAGTAGTAGTATTGCACTGCCAGAAGTAGCAATAGTAGAAGTACTATAAGTAGTAGTAGAATATGCAAGAGTAGTAGTAGTAGTAGTAGAAGTAGTAGTAGTAGTAGTAAAAGTAGTACCATTACATGTATACATGTACATACTCATTCACTAATACAGCAGTAGCCTTTCATGTGTATGTGAATGTGTGTGTGGGGGGGGGGGGGGGGGGGTTCTACGAACATAACATTTTATCAGAGCCTAACTTTGGCATTCCTTAAAATGAGCTACAGGTAATTACACTGAAAATTCATTGGAAATAAAGGGGACCAAAAAAACTGAGATGTTTCAGAACATCTGACACACATGTCTATTGATTACAAGAAGCAAAATTCCAAACAAACATGATTCAGTTTTGTTTCCTTTTCAATACAATAATAACATATTATCTTTACAGCTGAATCAGAAACAGACAAAAGCATTATCTACATACATCTAAGCTTTAAGAGATGGCATGCAATTAGCAATGTCAAATATAACAATAATAAGGAAATACACTGCAAGTATTCTATTCCCAGATAATATCAAAATAAAGTTAGTAATAAATAAATAAACAAATAGAGGGAATTGTCAATACAATTTTTTTGATTTTCATTGATCGACTTAATACAAATCTTATCTGCTCATGAATGTTTTCCTTCTTCAGTAGAATAAGGAGTGGATGAGTGACTGATTTAGTATTCACCAAGGATCTTGAGCAAGCAGCAGACAGTGGTACAGCGTTACAGGAGTGATGGACAAACCATATTTCTACAATTTTTGATACACACACGAGAATAAACAAGACAAACGTGTACCAGTGTGCACCCCTAGCCTTCCAAAACATACACACACACACGCATTTGAGAACACTTAGCACTTAACTTGACACTTTACCACGGATGATTAGGGAGTTCCTATTGGACGCAAATATGCTCTTACCTGATTTGCATCATCAGCAGCAATATCATTGAGCTTGTCTTCACAGCTGAGTAACCTCTGAAGCTCATCTACCGACAGGTGTGCTAGAAGAGGGAACTCCGACGACCCCCTGCTCGCCCCTGGTGCTCCCACTGCTGCTGCCATGGGTGCTTGTGGTGATGATGTCGGAGGGGTGGGGTACGAGGAGGAGGCGGGGTATGAGGAGGAGGTGGGGTGTGGGTAGCTCAGGTTGGGCTGGGACTGGGGCGGATTGGGCATGGGCATGTGAGCCTGGGGTGGCGTATGACGGGGCGGGGTCTGGTGGGGGGATTGGTTGAAGGCGTAAGGGTAGCTGTGACTGCTGTACATGGCAGTATGTTGGGGTGGTGGTGGTGGGTGTGGTTGGGGTGGATGTGGTTGGGGTGGGTGGGGGAGGAAGGCTGGGTGGGGCGCTGGGACTGGACCACAGGGATGAGGCGGGTAGTAAGCAGTTCTGTATCTCAGAGATTCTGTATAGACCGGGCCTGCAATGAACAAAAAATAATCTTCAAATACATATTGAACAAAATATTTTTTAAATAATACTACATGTACACTGTACATGTACATGTAAATTCAGCAGCGATTTGATAAATGTTTAAAAAATGTAGTCATCCTTTAAATGTTCTAAACCTTATCTGGACTACATGTAACTGCAAACTATCATCTTAATGCCGGCAATTACGGTAAATAAGATCTGGGACCCATTTCACAAAGCCTTTTTTCAATGACAAATTACAAAAATCAGTGACAAATCTGTTGATAACCAATCAGAAGCAAGATTTCAGTAGCTTATAGCAAAACTGTCATTTGTCACTGATGAAAAGTTCTGTGAAACGCCACCAGTCCTACACACGGCTTATCTTCATATAAAATCAGGTGACAATGAATTGAAGATAAACAGTATATTATTTTTTTTAAAGCTCAATAGTGACAGACACACATGTGCATGTACAGGTACATGTATGTACAGAAACCATTGCAGTGAAAGCCTTAATGAATTTATAATAATGCAACAGTATTAATAATATTGAGTCTTTCATAAAAAATAAACCAAATTAACAAAAAACAGTACATTTATAAATGTAATTAAAAAAATAATAATAATAACAACTGATCAACAATTCAACATACATGTATATTCGGGAAAAAAACACTGTCTATGTTTATTTTAAAATCAGTTCAGCTGGGGGAAATTCCCCATGGTCACATTAGGATGCTTTTCATTTTCTGATCTCACTTGCATGTAATTTTTACCCAGACAAACAGCAGTGAAAACTGGAACCGATTCTTACAACAGCTGTTTCAACATCACAACGTTGACACAAAAATTTGTTCTTTGTTATTTAACAAATATGATACAAATTTCTAAATAAATCAATGAACATTTGCAAAAGCGTGAGAATATGTGTATCTGTTTTCACCTACATTGTTACAACTACATGTATGCTGTAGTATGCATGCAAGGTTCCACACAAACAGTGGGGAGTACCCAAGGGCTGGCTGGGGTTGGGCTGCTCTGTCAGGCAACCAAATATTTAATAATAATAATAATAATAATAATAATAGCTCACATTTATAATGCGCCTTATACTTTGTTTCTAGGCGCAGAACATATTATTACATGTACCCCGGTCATCGGATTCAGGCTTACCCGCAACACAATGTACTGTATGCACATTTTCCACTCCCTGGGGAGCATTCCAGCTAGTCGCTAGTATTTAAAAAGTAAGATGAATAGTTGCCCTCATCAGGCAACCTTATCTTATTTTCTATTAATATATGTGAATGATTCAAGTCCATCTTTATATTATTTGTATTCTACAAGGAAAAGAAATATTTTTAAATTATAAACTTTGTCCTTAACTGTATTAATCTACTGTAGGCCACTAAAACATCAAAGTCAATTGGTTGCCAAAAAGAGCAATAAAAAGAACAATAATAAAAATATACACTTTTTGTCAAGCCATGCATTCCAACTTTCATTAAACATTTTTAGAGCATTAGGTTTTCTTAAGTCCATCTACTTTACATCATGTACATTGTAGTGTAGGTTTGTACACTGTATATTGTGTAAAAAACATCCATTTCTCAAGATATCCCCTCCTGCTCCAAAACAATACAGGATATTTACATGCGACGCAATATACATCTTACCATGTTTACTCTGCACCCATTTTCTAGTGTCCTGCATGTTTATTCTACAATGTATGACACCTTTAATAACGTCAATACACAATATGACCAAATATTCACTTACACATGTACAGTACATGTACCTTGCACAATTCACTTTACAACCATTTAAACTTTCATTAGCCCTCACCATCACAATACATTATAAAAAGAGGAGTTCACTATGATGTCCTCTTGATTACAATACTGGTATTCAAATGTATCCTACTACAGTACATACTCTATTACTGTTATCACACTGGCAATATTTTGCTTAACCCCCTACTATAGGTGGGGTTAAGGGGGGGGGGTCTTAGCCCCACCTACTGTATAGTACAGGGTTAACTAACCCTGCAAAATAGCAGGGCTAACTCTGCAATTGTGGTGCTAACTCCTGCTAACCCCGCAATTGCGGTGCCAAGCAAATGAATGAGAACAGAAACAAAAAATAGTCCGGTACTACGCAATGGAGCGTATCGCAGCTGGCCAGATGCGAAGTACAATGTATGTCCAATCATAACATTCACGATATTCGGGGTTAACGAATTGCAGTGAGAACAGCGTGAATTTTCTTATTCCGGAATAGGCGCTAGTACGGGACTAAAAACAGTGTGTGTGAAAAGCCAAACAAAATAGTCCAGGGTTAAGGATAGTACGGGGCTAAGCAAAGTACGGGGTTAAGCAAAACCAGTGTGAAAAGAGTATAAGACTACATGTACATGTACATACCTAACATTTTGAAGAATCTGCTACTCTTTAATTTCTATTGCAATCAAATCCTGAGAATATTCCAAATGGGCTCAAAAGAACTAATTATTAAAAAAAAAATCAATGAGTAGTTTGATGAACTAGCAAATCCAGAGCTCTAAATCATGGATATATTCAGATTCTGCAGTTGACAGCATACTCATTGAAAATATCTTCACAGAATAAAGGACCGTCACTAGTAACAAGACAGCAGCCTCTTGTAAATTAAGTTATTTCCTTTTCCCTAGCATATGACTTAAGATCTACATGTACACAGCAATGATTCAACAATACTGATAGATCCTGCTCTTCAATTCTTAAAATCAATATTCAATGGGAAAAAGGACATTGGAGATGGGAAGTTCTCTAGTACTCTGCGGGAGTGTATAATAGCTTCTATATCTAGTTACCAGTCCATAAAATCAGAAAGTACTTGAAAATTGTTTATTCAAGTTACCAAATGAAGAAAAAAAAAATCCCATTAGAGCCAAATGACACGTCTTTGATAACTTCATATTTTGCCTGGGCATTCAGGGAATTCACTCTGTGTTTCTGGCTTTAAACAGAGCATTTGCAGTAAAATCTACTCTGCACACGTTGCTCACGTCGTCATGATTGGACAGCTTTAAAGGGATCCGGTAACTTTGTCTCAGATTCTGAAACAAAATCCTGGATATAGCTCATGCTGCAATCATAATTATAAACCTTTAGGTCGGTCAGGAACCCCATGACTTTTACAAGCCGATCGCCTGTCTGATTATCAAAAATATTTATGATTGGAATTACAAATTTTGAAAAAGTCTATTGGGGAAAACGAGTATGGTAAAACCGGTCACTCAAAGATTTTTACTTTTTTGAGGCACTTCTTGATAATTTTTTTAGGGCTTCAATATTACACCATATCACAGACACTGATAACACGTACAGTACATTATGAAGGGCCGAGCTTCTCAGATTTAACATTGTTAAATGATGCCTTAAAGGTTAATTGATAACAGACAAAAGTGAAGATTTTGACACATTAAACAGATAGACTACAACGTACAGGGTGTAGATCCAGACTGATAGTTTTCTTGACCATTTGTTTAAAAAACTAAAGCAAAAAAAAAAGAAGAAAAAGAAAACATATATTTTGATTTAAACCCACAGACTATGTGTCCAGACAGGTTGGTTATCCGCACAGTTGATTTCAAACCGTAATTTAAAGAAGTTGATGTGCAATATCTAATTTACAATGTACATGTATCTTTTAAAACTTATGTTGGACAATATTATACAGGGAAAATATGTACCATGATGGTTAATTTAATGCATATTTTTTGTTAAATCCAAAGGTAAAATTGACAACTTTAATAAGGTCACATTGACTTCTGGATGCAGGTTGAGAAGGAGTTTTGCTTTTATAATGTCAGTACACACAACCTTCCATGTGTTAAAGAGAAGGTTCATTGATTTAAAAAACTAACTTTAATGTCATTATTGCAAAGGTGACACTTTCATTGGCCAAGGTTATCAAAAGTCAATGCTTGGAAACATTCAAAGTAATGATTATTAACAACTACAAAATGCTTAGATATAGCCCCGACATAGCGCCTGAAAAGCTCCCTTGCCACTGCTGAGATATGACGTTACATGTTGAACATGATGTGCACAAGCAGACGATGTCCAATGATATCTCACACAATTTCAGTGCTTGTTTTGTCATCTTTTCTTCAGTTATTTCTCTTACTTCAATACCCTCAGGCGAAATGTTTAATCTATTGCCTCACTCTAAACCCTGCATGGTATTATTTTGATGAAAAATGCAAGGATAAAAAAAAGAAGGAATCTGTCGCTTGTATTTGTTGTAAACAAAATAAGATGCGATTGTATTTTCAGCTGCATACTTGGCGGCATGCTCGGCGTTTCAAAAGGGAACAAATGACGTCCATGCTATCATTCCGGAGGTTTTTTAATTTGAAATTGTGGTTTCTTTGATTGTTCATTAACCCCTATCCTGTGTATTTACAAACAAATGAATTTAGTTATCAGAATGGGGGTCATATCATTTTTTGAATGGTGTAAAATTCCATCACATTTATAAACACTAAACTCATTATAAATAATATGAGAAATAAAAGCATTGCAATTATGTTCATTCTTTATGGGATGTCGTCTGCTTAGGCAGGGTTGGTTCATATTGTGACGGCATTAAAACATTAGTTATTTTTTTATAAATCACTCGATATGTAGTTGACCTGAAACTTGCATGATGGCCATCTGTTAGCTTACCAGTTTCTAGTGTAAGGACCCACACAAAACAAAAGTGGTCTTACATGTTTGAGGACTTGAGCTGCACTATCAGATTTTATTCCAACCACAAAATGGCTGCCAAGATGGCTGACATCCAGTCCATCAAACAATAATAACCAATCACAAGATTGGACAATAAGTAAGTAACCAATAGAAAAGCTTGTAAAAGATAGAGTGCCATGTGCCATGTGTGCTGGGTTGAATAGCTAAGAGATAAGGAAGAGTGTGTGTGTGTGGTGCTATAGCAGGTAATGTGCATGAGGATGAATGAATAGGGACAGAACAATAGAAGCCAAGAGCTAGCAGACATGAGAGAATGAATGTAGGTCAGGAGTGCGCTAAAGCATATCGGAGTGGAAAGCTAAATGTACATACATGTAAAATAAACAAGTAACCACTTGGATCAGTGAAATTAAAACCTTACACTAGTAATACGCTATTTGCCATATTTGTGATTTTGAACCCGCACTTTAAGTTAGCGACTGTAGATCTAAACTATTACAGTCACTAACTGAACACACGCGCGCGCCTGCACCCCACCCACCGTCGGTACGTTAGCAACTGTGTTGCTGTATTGTGCTGCAGTTTGCTTTGCCGTGAATCCTGTGAGAAAGTGGGTCTAGACTTTATAGGTCTTCGTTTTAATTTTAGGAATAACACTCTGAAAAACATAAGAAAATTGACACGAAACAGGTTACATTACAAACATATCGACATATCATTATCACTGTATCATGACCATTATTTGGGCATTATTTGATGGTTAGATCTAGATGAATATTTACTTCATTTAGGGTTTGTTTTAGTAGGGTATCTCCACGCAGGAGTTACGGGTCAAAGTTTGGATAGACTTCTGAACTAGCGCCGAGTAATTTCTTAAACTTTTCAAATTTCAACACATTTTCGATCTAACAGTTAGACCCTACACCATCGACCATGCACCAGCTGATCTTCACAACAGAGTAATAAACGTGATTGCAACGGCAACGTCACATTTTAGATAAAAACCAATTTTCCTTACCAATTTCTTACAACTGTCTCAGATATCTATTTCTTCTCATCGACTCAGTCCATCTGCATGTCTAAGCATGGTTATCGCTTTGCTTTTGAAATTGAAGCAAAATCCGTCATGACAATGCATTCATCAATTTACATCTGGATTACACAAACACAGGTGACCTTACCATTGTTGTAATCTTTTTGTAGACATGATGTTATTTTGTTGTAATGATTTGATCGATAGAGGGCGCCAAAGAGTTTTCGATGAACATCAGCATAGATGCTTGTTAACAAATTTATTGTGGCTTGCCTCCTTATTTGTTTTTTCATTTTATCCCGTCATGAAAGCAGTTTATTTTCTTTAGTGGCAGTGAATTTAAACACATTCATAAACATAAGCATGTGTATTACATTAGCTCATTCGTGATATTTAAGCTCATTGACCAATGCAGTGAGTTTCACATCAAAGAAATCAAAGTGCCCTATGGACGACCAGACGTTTTTGTTGTTGAAATATTGGAGGTTCGTGATAAATATCTTAGTTAACACTTCCTCATATAATTCAAATGATTTCATCAAAACGTTATGTTTTATGAAGTGTTATCAAATATTGATGATCTTTAGTCATAACTCATGATGACCATCATTATTGTATCGAAAAACATTTCCTGTATGGAGACAATGAGGCTTTTAAAAATCTTAGTTACTCGATTACATTATTGTTGTCTGACATATATATTGTTTTTGAGCAGCTTGACTTATAATAAGTTGATTTTTTTTTTTTTTTTGGGGGGGGGGGGAGGGGGTAGAAGCAGGCGCGGATCCATAAGGCGATTCTACTGGCCCGGCCCCCCCCCCTAGTGTCCCAAACAGGTAAAAAATTAGAATAGTAACTTAAATTTCTACCTTTAATAAAACATAAAAACAAAAGCGGCCCCCCTGAACCCCCAAACAAACAAAATTAACATTTTGCCCCCCCCCCCCCCCCATGAAAAAAATCCCCCCCGCTCATTCGCTGTTCGCCGGCTGGCTGATTCGCCGCTAAATATTTTCTCAAGATTTGCTCCCCCCCCCCCCCCCTTGCCGCCGGCTGGATCCGCCCCTGGGTTAAAGCCAGTGGCGTCCGAAGGATTTTCAAGGAGGATGTTTGAAAATTGAAAATCGCGCCGACCGATATTTCGCTCAGTTAGGGGGGGGGGGGGAATAGTCCCGGGGGGTAGTGAGCAATATTTGTTTTTTTGCCCCTCGGAATATGAAAATCGCACCGACAGATATTTCGCTCAGTAGGGGGGGGGGGGTTAAGGAGCTAACACATCCCCCCTTCAGCAATAATTAAAAAAAAAATTGAGGGGGGGGTTAACCCCAAATACATCCCCCCCCCCCCCCTCCCCCTGTGTACGCGCGTGGTGGAAGCGGTTGGTTAAATTTGATCTATCTCTCCAATGTGCTCTAAAAAGAGCTCATTGTGTTTTAAAAGATGTAAGTCCTCTTGGAACTGGCGGGGGGGGGGGGTAAAAATGAATAGGCCTGTATATGGGTTTGAGGCTTGGTCTGCACACCGGTGACCGGCCCGCGTCCAAACCTAAATCATCAGGTTATATGATCGAGGGAAGAAAAATTAACAAGGGCTAATTATAGCTTCTTTTTATATAATATTTATTATAGCCAAGTATACTCCTCGATCCTCTCCTCCTCCAAATGACTCCGTCGTCCCCCTCTTTCTTCTTCTAAATAATTAGGTCATTCTTCTCTCTTGTTTACATTCTTTCTTGATTCCTCCTTGTTCTTCTTCTCCTCCACCTCCGGCCTCGATCCTTCTTCTTCTCCTTAATTATTCTTCTTCTCTTCTCTTCTCTAATCTCAGTCTTCTCTTCTCTTCTCTTCTTTTCTTCTCTTCTTCTTCTAATTCTTCTCCTCCTCCTTCTCCTCCTCCTTCTTCTTCTCCTTCTTGTTATTCTTCTTCTCTTCTTTTCTCTTCTTTCTTCCCTTCCTCTTCTTCTAATTGATCGTTCTTCTTCTTCTTCTTCTTCTTCTTCTTCTTCTTCTTCTTCTTCTTCTTCTTCTTCTTCTTCTTCCGTTCTTCTTCTTCTTCTTCTTCTTCTTCTTCTTCTTCTTCTTCTTCTTATTCTACCCATCTTTTTCTTCTTATAATTCCTTCCTTAATTCCTCCTCGTATTCTTCGATCATTCACGACCATTCCTTCTTTCCTCCGATTATTTATCTATTTGAAATATATATATTTCAAAATAAAGCATTGCCGTTATCAATCTTCATGACACTCGATCTCTTCATTTGATCTCACCGGTGTGACGGCGTTTAGTGTGACTGGCGGATCGTGTTCGCGGAACAAAATCCGCCGGTGTGACCGCACCGTTTGTCCTACCAGTTTCGTTTGTCCGTCGGACATAACATGCGGGTTTTCTGCTCGCATCGATCGTCCGTGACTCGCACGGATCGTCCGAGGGACGATCCGTGCGGTTTGCTATCCGCACAGTCTGTCCTCATTTTGTTTTACGTTTATATTTGATAAAAGGAAGCAACTCGGTAAATCATGTGGTAGACATTTTTCCTAGATATTACATAATAATAACTCTCTACAATTTTTTTAAAGCAAATGGGCCAGTCCTTTTGAAAGTAGAAGTGAATATTTTATTTAAAACCTTTATTCTATGAATATCGGCCCCAAAACTGTTGTAATCGATTATACTTTTGTACGTGGCTTCGTTCTTCAACCAACTCACTACTAGTATATACTCGTGATCCAGGAAAATAAAAGTGATTGAAAATGTGGTTGAAAGTGAGTGGGGGAGGCTAGAGTATTTAAGATAAGGTAGAGCGTAGCACAAATTGGCGGATGCTCAGGGTGTAGGGGCATTTAATTACGGTCAGATGAGCATATTTTCATACCTTATTCATGACACTAGCAGGTCAATAATTGGCGTATGGTCCAAGGGGTGGAGCCCCCGGAAGCGCAGGGGTTTTAGGCATTAAAATTACGGTCAGATGAGCATCCAGGGGCCAGCCTTAGGGCACAAGGTGGGATCAAGGGGGCAGAGCCTCCGGAAGCTCAGGGGTATGGGCATTTAATTACGGTCACATGAGCATACTTTCTTTTCTATTTCTTTCTATTTAATTATCTTTAATATACTTTTTCAAAAGTGTGGGGGGGGGGGCTTGAGCCCCCAAGCCCGCCGTTCCACAGGTCCTGACAAGTATTGTTTTCCTGATCCGTATATAGGACAAGGCCCTGGGGCAGCTTGCCATAATCCGATATTTGGGTCGTTTTCCGGTCAGAACTAGCCCTTACTATCATTCCAGGATTTTGTTTCAGAACCTGAGACAAAGTTACCCAATCCCTTTAAGTTTCAAAAAGTAGACTTCATTGACAAGTACAAAGGCTTAGGGATATCATTAAGCCCCCCAATTTGTCGGTGGGGCTTAGATATCATTGAGTCCTTAGGGGCTAAGATACCATTGAGCCCCCAATATTTAAGCGGTGCTCAGATATCATTGAGCCGCCCCCGATACTTATTGCGGGGCTCGGATATCATTAAACCCCCCCCCCCCCTCCTCCCCAATCATTATATTCTAGGCATGAAACTCATGTGTACCTATAATCTACAGGCTTACCATTCAAATATAAACATTTTATAAATATTTATTTGGGGAGGAGGGGGGGGGGCTCAGACATCGGATCTCGCATACCATTGACCCCCCCGATATTTGTGTGGGGCTCGGATAACATCACGGAGCCCCCCGATATTTTGTGAGAGGCTCGGATATCACTGAGCCCCCCCCCCCCCCCCCCCCCCATATTTTGGCCGGGCTCGGTTATCATTATCATTATAGATTGGTGCGCATCATTATGCTCGATCATCCTCTCCTATCTGTTTGATTTCATTCCTCTTTTAGTCATCCTTTATTTGCTACCTATGATATTTGATAAATACCTATATATGCAAAATAAACCCTGGAGGTTTAAAGTTGTAAAGTCCAGGGCAGTTCAACACACGCAATCATGAAATAAGGATGTCTTCATCGAAGTGTCTCTGTAGGTTTAGAACCAAGCCCTGTGCCTACCCACTCAGGCCACTCTACATTCAGGGGCGTCGCTAAAGGGGGGGGGGGGGTGTGGGGTTGAAGTCGGTGGGATTTTTGTTATGTCGGTCGGCCAGCAAGTTTTTCCCCTTCGAGCTGTGACTTTTTATCGGACAAAGAAACATTTTTGAAAATTCAGACAATGATTTAGAGTCAGTACAATGAATAGTCTTCTTTTTCTAATAATTTAATGAAACGTTGAAGCTCCCGCACTTCGCGCGATAGGGGGAGAAACTGAATTCAGACAAGGATTAAGAGTCGAGAACGGTACAACAAATCGTCTTCTTTTCATAATAATTTAATGAAACGTCTAAGTTACCGCACTTCGCGCGGGAGGCCTTTCACCCATCCCCTCCCCCACGCGCGCTATTTAAGTGATTCGCTTGCTCAATACCGCCCCTCCCTAAAATAAGATCCTAGCTACGCACCTGCGTTTAAATATATAGCTATGATGCTAACTAAGTTGACGAAATAATTTGTATATTTATGTCGTCGACGAAAATGACCATTTGCGCATAACAATTTAGCCTTCGCATGATCATTTTTGTGATAGTTTCCTTCTGCATTTAATTTTGTTGCTGTTATGAGTTTATATTCATATTTTTGTTATCAAACAGGAATAAATAAATGAATATATAAATACATTTGTACAATACGATTTGTACGATAGTTGTACAATGATGATAGAAGAACCAATGAAAATCGCAACTGATCTTCCCTAATTCTTTTCCCCCTTTTCTTTTCTTCCTCTTTGTTTTCTGTCCCTTTCTCTCCTCTTTCCCTTTCTTTCTCTTTCTCTCTCTTTGCTGAGGGGGGGGGGGGAGGGGTACACATCGGGAAAAATTGCAACTGATCTCCCCTACCTTTCTTCTTCCTCTTTTTTCCCCTTTCCCTTCCCTTACTTCTCTCTCTCTCTCTCTCTCATTTAACTTTAATGAGGGAGGCAGGGGCCTTTCGCCCCCTCCCCCGATCCATATGATGTTGGTGGGATTAATTGCAACTGATCTCTGCTTCTTTTTACCCTTTTCTTTACTTCTTCCTCTTTTGTGTTCCATTTTAGCTCTCCTCTTTCCCTTTCCCTTCTTTCTCTCTTTTTTTTTGGCGGGGAGGGGGGGGGTGGTCAGGGGGG